GCATCCTCTGTTGCTGCTGCTGGTGGTGGTTGTGCTGCTGCTGGTGCTGCGGCTGGCTTTTCGTGAACAGCAGCGCAGCTTAGAGGCTTTGCCAACTGCCGCAGCCCAGGCCCTTTTGCTGTTGCTGCTGCTGCTATCCTAAACAGCCGCAGCAGCAGCAGCAGCACCAGCAGCAGTCTGGCGAACTGTTGCTACAGTTTGCTGCACTTCGTTTCGGGTGTATCTGCAGCTTGGGCCTTCCCTGCATCTTTCTTATTGGCGGCAGCACACGACAGTAGGAGAAGCGCTGATTGCTGCAGCTGCTATGGTGCTGCTGCTGCTGCTGCTGCTGCTTCGCTGCTGCTGCTGCTGCTACTGCTGCAGGTCTTTGCCTGCCGCGCCAGGTTCCACCCGTACTTCTGCTTTTGCTGCTGCTGCTGCTGTGCTGGTTGTTTTGCTGCTGCTCTTGCTGCTGCTGCTGCTGAGCTCTCCGCTGCTGCTGCTGCTGCTGCTGCTGCAGGGAGGAGCCCCTTCCGGTGGCTCTGCGTTCTGGAGACGTGGTGATCTTATCGGGCGCAGCTCGCCTGGCCCTTCACGGTGTGCTGCTGCTGCTGCTGCTGCTACAGCTGCTGCAGCTGCTACTGCAGCGGCTGCTGCTGCACTTCCTGCATGCGCAAAAGCATGAAGGACTGCTGAAGCACACGCGTCCTGTGCTGCTGCCTTGCTGCTCTGCTGCTGCTGCAGGGGTCCCTAAGCTTCTCTACTACGCGCCGAGCCAGCCTCCTACTGCAGCTGCAGCGAAGCGGACTGCTGCTAATGCTGCTGCTGCTGCTGCTGCTGCTGCTGACGAACAGCAATCCAGCGGCGGCAGCAGCAGCCAGAACCACGCAGATACGAACAGTTCTCGAGAAAACCACCCAAAGCTGCTGTTGCTGCACAACGAACAGGTGGAGCAGCAGCAGCAGCAGCAGCAGCAACAGCAGCAGCAGCAACAGCAGCAGCAACAGCAGCAGCTGCAGGTGGAGTTAATGGACTATGCTCTGTGCCTGCCTCATTTGCTGCGGGCTGAGAGGGCTTTACAGGGGCTGCTGCAGCAGCAGCAAGAGAGAATTTTGTTTTGGCAGCAGCGGCTGCTTCAGGTGTATAGGCAGCTGCAGCAGCTGCGGCTCAATATCAGCTGCCGCGGGGTGTAGATACACTTCAAGAAGACACAGGAAGCAAAAAGACAAAAGAATTAAATATTTAAATTTAGCGAAACAAAAAGATAAACTTAAAACAGAAACGAAGCAAAAGAGGAGAACAAATGAATAAAATACACTGGAGCAGGAGCAGCTGCTGCTGTTGCTGCTGCTGCCGTCGTTGTTGCTGCTGCTACTGTTGCGCCTGCCGCTGCTGCGGCGCAGCCAGCAACTCTGCAGCAGCAGCAGCAGCAGCAGCAGCGGTTGCTGCTGCTGCAGCGGCAGCAGCAGCAGGAGCCTCTGCTGCTTGGGTAATGGGGTGGGCGCCCCAGCAGCGGTAGAAGCAGCAGCAGCAGCGAAGGCAGCTGCAGCACCAGCGACAGCAGCTGCAGCAGCGGCGATAGCAGCTGCAGCAGCAGCGATAGCAGCTGCAGCAGCAGCGATAGCAGCTGCAGCAGCAGCGATAGCAGCTGCAGCAGCAGCGATAGCAGCTGCAGCAGAAGCGATAGCAGTTGCAGCAGAAGCGATAGCAGCTGCAGCAGCAGCGATCGCAGCTGCAGAAGCAGCGGTAGCAGCTGCAGCAGCAGCGACAGCGGCTGCAGCAGCAGCGATAGCAGCTGCAGCAGCAGCGATAGAAACAGTAGAAGCATCTACAGAGTCTGCAGCAGCAGCGACGGCAGCTGCAGCAGCACCCACAGCAGCAGAAGCTACAGGAGCAGCAGCAGCACCCACAGCAGCAGCAGCAACGATAGGAGCAGCAACAGCGATAGGAGCAGCAGCAGCGGCATCAACCGCAGCAGCAGCAGAAGCAGCCGCAGCTGCAGCAAGAGCAACAAAGGATAGCAAAATCAGCAGCAGGAAACGCGCTAGTGCGTGTCTCGGTGTTTGCGGCAGAAAGTTGTTTCTCTAAACCCTCAGGCCCAAACCCTAAACCTTAATTCGCCGATCCCAGACCCTAAACCCTAATTCGTCGATCCTAAACCCTAAACCCTAATTCGCATATCCTAAACCCTAAACCCTCGTCCTGAACAGCGCGTAGTCTTTGTGGGGAGACCTTAGCAGCAAATAGCCCAAGATGAAGGCTCAACGGTGCAGCCGAACGGAGGGGGTTTATTTAGGGTTTAGGGTTTAGGGTTTGGGGTCTAGGGTTTAGGGTTTAGGGCAGCTGGAAGAGAGCTTCACACTTCAGAAATCTGCTGCTCTGTAGCGTTTAGGGTCCAGAAATGAAAATTAGGGTTTGGGGCCTAGGGTTTAGGGTTTGGGGTTTGGGTTTTGGGGGCTTATGGCTGAAAGCTAGCTGTCGATTGTGGTTGCTGCTGGCCCTAGGGTTTAGGTTGTAGGGTTTAGCGTTTAGGGTTTAGGGTTTGCATTTTAGGCGATGGATAAAAAACTAATGAGCAAACAGAAACCCTGGTTTACCAGCAGCAGCAGCAGCAGTTGCTGCTCCTGCTGCTGCCACTGCTGCTGGTGCTGCTGCTCTCGAGTCAACGAACAGCAGCACTAGCGATACTGCTGCTGCTGCTGCTGTTGCTGCAGCAACTAAGCGGTCTTTGCCTCGGTTTTTTGGTTTTGTTTTATAATAGGAAGAAAATAAATGATTAAATAAATAATTAATTTAATTCCTTTGCTGCTGCTGCCTGAAACGCCTCGAAGGCTCTTCCTGCTGCAGCCTTGGGGGGCCCCGTTGGTTTGCTGGAGCAGCAGCTCCTGCAGCAGCTGCTAGAGCTCTTGCTGCGCCTACAAGATTATGTGTGTTGTGTTGCTGCATAAGGCACAGCAGTAGAGACCAGCAGCAGCTGCAGCAGCAACAGCAGCAGCAGCAGCAGCAACAGCCGCGGCGGCAGCAGCAGCAGCAAGCAGCTCACTGGAGCCGCTTCAAGGTACTCTCTTTAAACTGTTCTTCCCTTTTTATTTCTGCTGCTTTGCTGCACACACATTGGCATTGGCAGCACTACTGAAAGCTCCGGGCTTCAGCAGCAGCAACAGCAACAGCAGTAGCGGCTATAGCTGCAGCAGAAGCGTTGACAGCAGATTTAATGGAGTCCACGAAGTACAAGGCCCTGCCGGTCCAGGAGTACCAGCAGAGGCAGCTTCTTGTGCTGCAGCAGCTCCAGCAGCAGCAGCTGCAGCAGCAGCTGCAGCAGCTGCAGCAGCAGCAGCAGCAGCAAATCTGCCTCCATCCACCCAGCAGCGACTTCTGGCTCCCCAGCAGACACCGCGGGATTTCGGGGGTTTCCCCTTCAGAAGGCAGGAGCCTCACGCGCAGCAGCTGGTGCAACAGCAGCAGCAGCAACCGCAGCAGCAACCGCAGCAGCTACAGCTGCAGCTACGGACATGGCGGCAGCAGCAGCAGCGGCAGCGGCAACAGCCACGGCAGGCAGCAAAGACACACTGTTGCTGCTGCCTGCCCGCTACAGCGACCTCCCCTTGGTTACAGCAGGGGCTGCAGTTTTCACACTGCTGCAGCAGACGCTGCTGCAGCACACACTGCAGCAGCAGCAGCCGTTGCTGCTGCTGCAGCTGCTTCTGCTGCTATTTCCCCAGCCAGACCGGCACTGGAGGCCCCGCGTGCCCTGGGGGGGCCCCCACAGCTAAGCATTGCAGCAAGAGTCTCCCCCGGTGCTCAGCAGCAGCTGAAGCAGCAGAAGCAGCTGAAGCAGCAGCAGCAGCTGCAGCAGCTGCAGCAGCATAACAGGCAGGAGCGGCAGCAGCTGCAGCAGCTGCAACAGCAGCACCAGGTGCAGCAGCAGCACCAGCAGAGCCATCTACAGCTCTGGCAGAAACAGGTCCAGCTGCGACAGCAGCACAGACTGCAGGAGCAGCAGCAGCGCCTTGTGCAGCAGCAGCAGCAGCAGCGAAAACAGCAAAAGCAGCGCTGCTGCAGCACAAGAACAGCCTGCGCAGTTTTGGGTGATTCCTATTCCCCCGCGGGGCCTCTAGGTGGAGCTGCTGCTGCTACTACAGCTGCGGACGGTCCAGCAGCAAGTGAAGCAGCAGCAGCAGCAGCTGCTGCAGCAGCAGCTGCAGCAGCAGTAGCAGCAGCAGTAGCGCAAGATGCAAGGCGAGTGCTGGAAGCTGCACCAGTAGCTTCCGTGGCAATGCATGCAGAAGCAGGTTGTGGGGCCCCAACGGCAGCAACAGCAGGGGCAGCAGCTGCTGCTGCTGCAGCTGCTGCCGCTGCTGCGGACGGCTGTGAACCCTCAGCAGCAAAATACAAAAGAATGGACCCCTTAGAAACTGCGGAAGAGATTAGGGGGAGCAGCAGGGGCACGAGCAGCAGCAGCAACAGCAGCAGCAGCAGCAGAGTCCCCTCATCGCAGCCAGAAGAGCTGCTGCTCAAGGATGCTGCTTCGCTGGAGAGCGCCAAAATCAGCAGCAGCTCTTGCTGCTGCAGATTGGGGGGCCCTGGCAGCAGCACATGTGACGAGTCGGCTCTCTGGAGCAGCAGCAGCAGCAGCAGCAGCTGTGGCCGCTGCAAAGACAGCCCGCTGTGCAGCAGCGACGAGGAGACAAGAGGAGTATCGAGGCTGCAGCAAAGCACAGCAGCAAGTGCTTCGTCTCTGCAGGAGCTGCAGCAAAACCAGGAGCAGCAGCAGCTGCTGCAGCAGCGGCAGCAGCGGCAGCGGCTGCTGCAGCAGAGGCAGCAGCCGCAGCAGCATCACCAGCCGTGTCAGTCTGTCCGTCCTGACAAACGTCCACCGGAGGAACCAGGTGAGCTCCAGCTGCAGCAGCAGCAGCAGCAGGAACTGGAGCAGCAGCAGCAGCAGCAGCAGCACGTTCAGCAGCAGCGGCGCCCTTCGTTGGGCCCCCAGGCGGCAGCGGCTAGCGGCTTCTGTGGTAGCAGCAGCAGCAGCAGCAGCTGCTGCAGGCGCAGCAACAGCAGCAGCAGCAGCTACAGAGGGTTGAGAGGCTGCTTAGACTTACACAACGAGTTGGGGAGGTTTCGGGAAACAGCGCAGCAGCAGCGGGAGGCGCTGGAGCAGCAGGAGCTGCTGCTGCTGCAGCAGCAAACCACGCTGCAGCAGCAGCAGCGGCTTATCCAGGTGCTGCAGGTTAGGCTGGCTTCCTTAGGTGCTGCTGCAGCAGCAGATGCAACATCTCAGCGCAGGTCGCCTGCAGCAGCAGCTCACAGAAGCAAGGCTGCTGCTGCAAAGCGCCACCGCCAGCAGCAGCAGGACCTGCAGCAGCAGACAGAAGCTGGCAGCAGCAACGGCGGCAGCAGCGTGAAAGACAGCCGCAGTAGAGGAGAGGCAGGAAGGCCACTGCAGTCTTTTGAGGACGAGCTGCAGATGCAGCAGCAGCATCTACAGCAGCAGCAGCAGCAGCAGCGACAGCAGCAGCAGCAGCAGCACTGCGAGACGCAGTACTTCACTTTGGCCAGCGACACCAGCAGCATGAGCAGCAGCAGCAGCAGCAGACAGGCGTCAAAGGGCACTCCTGGCTGCAGCAGCAGAGAGCTCTCTCCCCGCAGCAGCAGCCGCGGGAGCAGCAACAGCAGCAGCAGCAGTGGCAGCTTAGGGATCAGCAGCAGCTGCCGCAACCGAAGCAGCACCCCCATGGGCAGAGACTGCAGCAGCAGCGATCCGCATTGCGTGCAGGGCCAGCTTCAGCAGCAGCAGCAGCAGCAGCAGCAGCAGCAGCAGCAGCAGCAGCAGCAACATCCACAGCAGCAGCAGCTGCAGCAAGAGGTACCAAGCAGCAGAAGCCCCCAGCAGAAGCCTATGTGTACATGTGTTTGCGACCAGAAAGGCGCTGATGCCCCAGCAGCAGCAGCAGCAGCAGCTGCTGCTGCTGCTGCTGCTGCTCCCTTGACGGGATGGCTTGCTGCGCGCACCCCCGGTGGGTTTCCTCGCTGTGCTTATATCTCGAAAGCAGCAGCAGCAGCAGCAGCAGCAGCACGTACGGGTAGTCATGTGGCTTTGGCGCTGCAAACGCCTGTTGCCGTTACTCCGAGAGCAGCAGCGGCTTCTGCCAGCAGACCCGAGGCTGCAACAACAAACGTTGCAGCAGCAGCAGCTGCTGCAGCGCCCACTGTTGCAGCACGTGCTGCTGCTGCTGCTTCTGCTTCATTTACCATGCCGCCTGAGAGGCCGCTGTCTGCCGTAAGTACAGCCGAGAAAGACTTCAGAGCTG